AAAGTTTTCAGACCACATGAGCCAAATTTGCCCTTTTTTATTGGATATACAATGCTTAAGCCTCAGAAATTTCATGTATTTGTCGATTTTGTTCATACTGACAAATGGTTGCATGAGCGCTATGAAATCTACATTGTAGATGTTGACAAGTTTTTTAAGTCTAGGCATGGTCTTTTTTGTGTTAACTCCTCTAATGTTCCAAAAAATGACATTAATCATGGAAACAATGAGGGAAATTAGTTTGATCTACCTCCCTGAGGAGGCGCATTGTCATTTTGTTTTTTCTTCTTTTCCTTCTTTTGTTCTGATTTTTGTGTTTGATCACAGGAGAGAAGTCTTCTCCATTATCATGATCATGCATATTCTGTATGATCTCACATTGTTGTTGTGTTTCCTTCCTCATTGAGACTGATTCATTGTTGCCTTGTTGTTGTGCTGGATTCAGATCTAGTTCAAGACAAATTCCAGGCAGATTTTTGATTTCTGAGGGGATGCTAACTGACTCATTGACATATTTTCGCCATTTCAACTCCTTGGTTGTTTTGACCTCAGCATTACTCGATTTTTCCTCATTACCAGTAGTGCCATCATTCATGGTTTCATTGCTACTCCCTCCTTTGGTGATTTCAGCTCTATTAAACCCCTCTGTCGTGTTTATTCTAGTGCTATCATGCTGTAGATTTTCTTCATTAGGTAAAAAGACAGTTTTGTTTTTTAAACTGCTGGAAAATTTGACATGTTTGAATACAACCTTAGACTTCTTTTTGGAATTCTTTTGTGTCTTTTAACCTTGTTCTTCTTTGTAGTTCTACTCTTGATGCTTTACTGCTTTGTCAAGTCTTCTTTTATAATCTGATCTCTGGCTGTTTCATTTTGTGACTGAGAAACTCTACACGTCTGATCCTCAGTGCTATTTTCGTACTTTCCAACACTCTGTTTACTTTGTTTTCTGCCATGCCCCTGTCTCATCTGGGTATTTTGCAATTCATTTGAGCTGCCAGCTTTTCTTATTTCACCCACGTTATTCACTGCGTTCTTTGCCTTGATTTCAGCTTCTTCCCTTACTTCTTTGTTCAATTCTTCCTCTTGTTCTTTCTTTTCCAGCTCTCTTTTTCTTTCCAAGACTCTACAGTTCATCATATTATGACCAAGTTTTCTATAGTGTTTACAATACTTAGGAACTCCCTCATATTCAAGTTTTTATATGAACCCTTTTTAAGGAGCATTTTCGAAAACCTGCCCAACATACACAGCATCTGGTTGCTGCTTAAGTAAATCTATTTCGATTCGAACCTTCGCCATGCTAGGTCTAGTTTTACCACGCGTAGCTAGGTCCATTTCCAAAGGAGTTCCGGCTGCACTGACTACTTGCTTAACATAATGCCATGTATGCATATGAAAGTGGAGACCAGGTAACAACACCCATACCGGTGCCACTAGGAGGTCCTCCTCCGGCTTAATATCTGGCGACCACCTCTGAAGCCACATTTATTGTCCCTCTATTTCAATTACTCTCTTGAACCAGACCACACTGAAATCGTCTTCATTTGTAAAATCCAAAAATACATTAAAGTTATCATAAACCCCGTTTTCACATTACCTTTGATGGAGATTATCTCTTTGAATTTTGACCTAATTCGGTCGATTTGGGGCCTAGGTTTAAGGAATTTACCTACAATTATGTGTTTACATTCTTCAGCCGTGATTCCATAGTAGTCCGATGCCTTGAATAAGATTGTCGGTATCCCATTGTGAGTAGAGTGAGTTGCTATTACAGACTCCCTTGCATGTTGATTTGGGGGTTGAATTTGCTTAGAGGCTGGGATTGTCTCTGCATAGGAGATTTTTTTGTCAGCTATTTCCGTGGTTTTCTTGTAGGTTGATGGGGAGTGTTTTGGCCACCCAGACGCGTCGGGAGGGGGGGGGGGCATCGTCTGATGGATCCATGGTAGAGGTGCGTGGGCCTACCCACTGGGAAATAGCCGTTAACTGACCGTTATTTTGGAGAGAGTCGAGAGAGAATTTTTAGAGAGAGAAGCTTGGGTTTCTATTAACTACTACCGCATGCACAATCTTGTTAAAGATTTGTATCACTAAAAAATGTAGAGAATTTCAAGTGTTGAAGAAAGGATTCATAGCGGATCCCAACTAGCTTAAATGATGTGTAGTTGTCGTTGTATTCTCTTATCTTTAATATTTTGCTCACAAGCTCACTATAATACAGAAAAACTAAATCATGATGAGATCAAGTGACATTGTTAATATCACACACTTCACAATTTCATGTTGGTTAACGTCATCTTTTAATCAGAATACAGATTTGCAGTAGATGTAGAAAGAAATCACTTCTTTAGGGAGGAACAAAAGAAAAAAACCATACTGGATGTCTTGGATCTGCAAGGATGGGGAAAAGCCCTCTGACAATAAGAGACTGCCACTTCTTTAGTAAAATGTGGTTTACTACCACATTTTATATAAAGCGTGGTAAGAAACCACGTCTTATCAGATTCATATAAACGAGATTTCAAATTGCGTTTTATATAAAACGCAGTTTTGAAATGCGTTTTACCTTAACATGCCAAACGGCCGTTAAGGTAAAACGTGGTTCAAAATCACGTTTTACATATTTTGGTCACTAGCTATATTTTTTTTTTTACCTAAAAAAGTATTTTGAATCCAAAAAGACAATATTTCGGTTCCGGACTCGCTTGTGGCCTCAGCAGTTGTGGTTCCTGTAACATTGTTGGTTCATGTTAACTCATACTAACTTCTCTCTTTTTCTTTTACATAAAGATGTTTGACTGAATTGGAAGTTAGAAAGCAAAAAATTTTGATTATAAAATCATGACAGTGAGTATAATTTGAGAAGAGTAAAGTTAAATCGTTTTTAGATACTATAAAAAGGTCATTCTTCTTTAAACATATTAAAAGAAAATTAGAGGAAATAGAGAGAGTATGCATTATAATTACCCCCTCGTTTACTTTACTTGTCCACAATTAATTTTTGCATTCCCTTTAAGAAATAAGAAATGACGTATATATTTTATCATAATGCTCATAAAAATGATAACATTTCAAAAAATCTTGAAAAATAATATGGGGAATGAGTAGTTAATGATAAGGTTAAAATATGAAATATGGACAAAGAAAGTAAAAATGTATTTTTTATATAGTGAACAACTAAAAGTGAACGAAGAGAGTATTTGTTTGAACGGTTTGCACAAATATTTAATGACATTTTGAAAACAATGTCATTTATAGAACGAAAAAGGGTCTGATCTGTCCCTCTACTATCATCAATAGTTTTAATAAGCCCTCCGTTATACTATTAGAGCAACCAAGCCCCTGTCGTTATACTATTAAACACAAATACCCTTATTTTAACAGATGGGCCACGTGGCAACACCAAAATCATCCGGTTAGATTTAGTATAGATCCGACCCAACCCGGCCCTAAAATACTAGACCCTTCACCTTTATTAATGTGTGAACCCTAAATTGTTCACTCATATCTGGATATGTCCCTCCCTCTCTTCCACAACTCAAATGCTATAACTTCTCATTCAAATTTCATTGTTCTTCTTCGACCAACACATCTTATAGTCTTGGTTCGATGTCTAGTTCTAGTGTTGCATCGAGAAGGAGGTGCTACTGTGGGAAGATTGCAAACAACTTCACTTCGACGACTACAAACAACCTCGGAAGGAGATTCTACAAGTGTGCTAAACCTGAAGTAAGTGTGAATTTCGTTGGTGATTCATTACTCGTCGATTCATTTAAAGTTTTATTTTTCTGCTCTTTAACATAGTTATTAATTGTATTTGTAAGAACAGAGTCATGTGGCTATTGGGAATGGCAAGACGAAGCCCTCCTGGACAAAGCGTTGATAGTAATCAACGATTTCAAGTCTAAATTAGATGCTGCAAATGTCAAAATCAGGATGTTGAATATGTTGTTGGATGCGTGCAAGCTTGAAAAGGACAAATTAATAAAAAAAAGTTGATGTTTTAGAGGCTATAAATGATGTTGAAGTGAATAAAGCAAGGGAGATGGAAGTGAAAGTGATGCACATGAAGATGTTCATTATGGTTGCATTTGCACTGTTAGTCGGATTTGTTGTGGCATTGTTGATGAAATGAATTTTGCATTTTGTGTATTGCAGTAGGGTTTTGACGAAGTTAACTGTTGTAAAATCCAAATTTTCATTAATGTTTTGTGTTGGTCAGCTTGGTTATAATCCAAATTTTCATGAATGCATTTTGTGTAGTGCATTATGGCGTTTTGTGTAGTGCAGTATACCTTTCATTTTCGGATTTATTGTGTTGGTCAGCTTGGTTAATCACTAAATATAGTTTTTCATATGGTATGTTAATGCCCAGTTTAACAGAATAATGTGAATTTTAACAGGAAAATTGGGCAGTTATGGCTATAATGCAATAAAAAAACCTGGGCAGTTATGGCTCTAATGCAGAGTAAAACTGGGCAGTTCACTAATAGACAAAATCTGGGCATCCACTTTAATGCAGTTAATTCAGTCTATGATGCAGTAAGTACAGAACATGAAGTTCTGCATATAGAACAACTTTAGAACAAAATACTGACCCTAATGCAGTAAAAAAAACTGGGCAATTCACTAACAGTAAAAATATGGGCATCACTCTAATGCAGTAAATTCATTCTACATATCACCAATGCAGTAAAATCTGGAAAGTAATCACCAATGCAGTAATTACATATCAGAAGTACTGTCAATGCAGTAATTACATATCACCAAAAATAGTAAAGTTAGTAAGTGAAACTAATGATTGGATGTCAAACTATAATCCCAAAAACTAACACAACCTAAATCATACTATGACATCCAATTCAGTTACCAATATTAACAGAACATTAAACAGGAGACTGTCATTAAGTTTGCAGTAATTACATCCCAAAATAAACACAAAATTACATAGAACAACTTGACCATTTTCCTTTTCTTATCTTTAGCTTCCCAATTTTCTATTGCCTTTGTTTTTCTAACTGATTTGAAGTTGTAGCTGCTTTACCCTTCCACATCAGGCCTGCTGGTGAATTTGGAAGATCTGTGGGCTCACTAACACCAGTGTGATCATCAGTAAAGTTGATTGATCTTCTCCTAGCTGGTAAGTTTACCTGCTGCGTCAGTTGAAGTCTTGTCTTGACTTCTGATATCACCATTGGCCTAATCACAGCATCTTCATCATGTTCTATCTCTGGGAACTTTGGAACCATACTTGATTGACCAATTCTGGAGGCTCCATTGCTTTTGATGGGTCAATTTTCCAAAATTTTTCTCCTCTAACAGGTTGGAGCTTGTGTCTATAAGTAAGTAGAAATGCCTCCTTACTGTACCACCAGTGCATCTCTGTCAAATGGTCACCCATGTTGTGAAGTATAGCTCTAATAGCATGAGGGCATGGGATTCCTGTAAGGTCCCATGCCCTACATGTGCACTTCTTTATGCTTAAGTTGACACAATGCTTATTAGACCCTTCACTAACTTCATATCCTCCTTCTCCATTGGAATTAACTTTACACACTTGAGCAATCTCCATGAATTTATTGTATAGTTCTAGGCTCTTTGGACTGAACTCATTGCTCCATGTACTAGCTTCAACTTCATGTTTTATCATCATGTTCATAACTTTGAGTCTAATGTCTTCCAACATCTTAATGATTGGCTTTGTCCTTGCTTCCAGAATCCATGAATTGAATGATTCAGTCAAATTGTTATCAATTGACTGATTCTTGCAAACTGTATCTAGATAAGCTCTGCACCAAGAGTGTGGTGGGTACTTCAATAAACTCTCTGCTGCATCCTTGTTCAACTCTCCTGGCTTGCTTAGTTAGTCTTTGAAGTCTTTTTCATAAGTGCACCATGAACACCACCAAAGCAGTTTTTTGCTTTCCCCAGTATTGTATGTCTTGCACCAGTTAGCCTCGATATGTCTAGCACAAAACCTATGATGTGCTTGTGGTAGAACAATTTTAATTGCCTCAATTAATCCCTATAACAAATTTAGAAAACATGCAGAAAGAAAAAATTCAAAAACACAAACTGGACAGAAGTAGATGACAACAGAAAGAAAAAAATTCAGAAACAAAAACTGGACAGATTTAGATGACAACGGAAAGAAAAATTCAGAAACATTACCTTTTGCATGTCTGACATGAAGGTGATTCCTTCTCCTTCCTTAAGGTTTAGAGATCCCTGAAGCAATTGTAGGAACCAATTCGAAGAATGCTTTGTCTCCTTATCATCAACTGCCCATGCTAAAGGATAAAAATGGTTTTGTGCATCCTGTCCAACAGCAACTAGCAATTGACCCTTGGCTTTAGCTTTTAAAATGTGCCATCTACGCCAATAAATGATCTTAACCCTAACTTGAAACCCATCTTCATAGCTTTGAAACAAACATACATCCTCAAGAATCTTCTTTTCCCATTTTCAAGTGCATTTTTTGAAATGTTAATCACCACATCACTGCCTGGATTACTCTCCCTCAATTCAATGGCATAAGCATCAAGTTTGTTGTACTCATCTGCAAAACTCCCATCTAAGGTCTCCAATATCATTCTTTTTGCCCTCCTGCACTTCCCATGACTCACATTTAACTCAACAATCCTTTTCTAATCAAGTACCATCTCCCTTACCTTATACTTAGGATTATCCTGTAGCTTTCCCTTAAAGTAATGTGCAATGGTATTGAAATCAACAGTACTATTATCATATGCAGTGCCACAATTATGTTCTGACTCTAATGTCTTTACGGTAACCCCTGCATTACCATCTTTGGATATTAAACAAACAAAGGGACAACCCACAATGCATCTATACCTAACCCTCCTTGGGTCACTCTTCCTCATTTTAAGACTTTGTTATTAGCTAGAGCATACAACTTCATAAACTTTCTAGCTTCCAGTATGTTCTTAAAGGCCATGCCTTTATATATCACCTTGTAATCATTTAGATTCTCAGTTATGTCTTTTTCTTTGTGTTTTGAGTAAATGTAATTCTTCAGAATCATATCCTTCAGAATCACATCCCTCAGAATCAGAACTAGAGTCAGATCCTAATTCACTTAAGCAACAGTCAGCACCAGCCTCATCTAAACAAGGATATGATTCACTATTATCAACAATACTGGGAATACACTCAATAGGGGGGTCACATTCATCCACAGCATATAGGTTCACTACATTATATTCATTAGAAAGCAAGAACATCAACTGTCTAATCCCCACATCCCCTTGAACCTCATACAATTTACCAGAAGGTCCAGCAACTATAAGTTGTTGAACCCCTACAACCCTAGCTCAACTATGAATTCAGATTCTATATCTATATAAGAAAGCAAGTCTGAATCATACCCTGACAAAGTGTGCAGTTTATTCTTTGTGTACACAACTTCAAGATGTGTAACCCATTCACCTTCATAATTGAATAATAAATCAACTAAGACCATCTCCAATAATCTAGTAAATATAGCAAATAAGAATGGTTAGCAAACAGTAAAAGAACCAATATAAGCTGAAAGTAAAAAAAGAGGAATAAATATAGGCAGAAATTGACATGTGAGATAGAGGGTCCCATGAATAAAGAAATACAACATGTACAAAAGAATTCACAAAAAGTTCAGTTTATGGCCAACCCCTTCATAAAAAATTGACAAAGAGAGCAAAGATGCACTAAAATCCAACCACCGGAATAGTTTAATGAAGCAGTTGCATTCAAGGGTCCTACATTTAGGACCAGCTTAGCTAATAAACAAAGAAAAAGCACTAAATCTCAGTCAACATCATAGAAAACTAAGGCATATTTCCCAGTAAGACAAAAAACAAATCATAATCCCCTTAAGAAACCACCTCTGAGAAAAAAACCCTAAACCAGAAGACAATAAATCCACCTTGATATATACCCATAAGAATTTATTAGCATAACTGAAGCATGCAACCACTACAAATCGGGACCACCTCAAAACTGAAACATGCAACAACTACAAGAAGACAAACTATAAAGCATATACATAAAAATGAAGGATAAAGCTTAGATGTTGTCCAAACCGTAACCCTAGACCACAAAAATAAGAATAATATAACAAGCAATCAGCAAAATCGATCAACAAATACTAAAATCAAGCAATTTAATGAAGAAAAGAATGACCTTTACACCAAGATCATATGAAATCGGCAGTTTGGAGTCACCACTACCGCCGGTCTCTTAGAGCTTAGAGAGAGTGAAAAGAAAGAGGGGAAATTGATCAAATGGTCTGTTTCAGTCCATATTTTATAGAAGGGTTGGGTCGGTGATAACTAGGGATTTTGACGCATTTTATACTCCTTCTTGCTTATGGTTTGATTAGAGATTCACACAAAATAGTCCCAAAAAAGGCTCACAAGTTGTACTTGATTGCAGGTTTGATCATCAAAGTGACAAGATGTCAAAGATCATCTCAAAAGGAGTGAAACTTGCACAAGTACCAAAGACAAGACAAGCTCAGCAAAACAGGCCAGTGCGGCCGCACACCACTTTGTGCGGTCCGCACTAGGAGATTCAGAGAGGCTAATTACCAAGCTAAGAGGCAGTGCGGCCGCACTAGGTTTTGTGCGGTCCGCACTGAAGGCAATGCGGCCGCAATCGATTTAGTGCGGTCCGCAGAGCCAAGAATCAGAGAAATTGCAATTTGGAGTTTTCAAGCCAATGCGGTCCGCAGTCCATTTTATGCGGACCGCACTAGAAGCCTCCGCGGTCTCAGTCCATTCTCTGCGGTCCGCGATGCCAAGATTCAGAGAGCTGTTTTTCAAGGCCAAAGCCCCAGTGCGGACCGCGGTCCATTTTGTGCGGTCCGCGCTAACCCCGCAGGGGCATTTTTGTCCAGATTTTTCAGCCTAGTATAAATATCTTCTATTTCCATTTTAGGGTATCAGATATTATAATTAAAGGAGTTGCGCTCGTGGGTTCGACTTTCTAAGCCATTTTGGGCAATTTTATCTATTTTTCATCATTGAATCTTGTTATTTAACCTAGTGATTAATTAATATGAGATTATCTTCATCTATTTCTTGCTTTTCTTCTTTAATTATGAGCAGCTAGACCCATAAGCTAGGGTTGTGGCTCAACCTTAGTGTGGGTAATTGATGGGTCTTGTAATTTAGGGCTAAATTGACTATGGGTGTTTGTTATTTGGGCCAATTTCATGGTAAATTTCTGAATTAGTGGTTGCAAACACTAGTTTGTGTTGAGTTGACTTGAGCTCTTCTTGAGAAAGAGAGCCTAATTCTCCGAAATTGGTCCAACAATGAATTGGGGCGTACTCAAGAGATTGATTGCCCCAATTAAAGGGTTAAACCTCGAGAGAGTAATACCCGAATTGAACCCTAGTTGCTTGTGCAAATTTGCATACCCAATTGGTCTTGAGAAAGCCAACTCGAGCAAAATTACTCGAACCACCGAGAGGTGTAGAGTGGGTAAAGTCGTGCAACGGTTATAACATACTCCCCAAATATGTCAAACGTGCCTTAGATTCAAGTACCCGTCAATTGACCACCTAGGCGGTAGTTACTACCCTAGTGCCTTTTAAACCTATTTGAACAACTCGTAGCATTATTACTCTTAGCATAATTTAGTTGCAATTACCAATTGTAGTTTGATAATAGTAGAAGTAAACAAAAACCTCAAAAATGAATAGAAGTGTAATTTGGAACACATACACAATTCTACACTACATAGGTACTCGATTCCAAATTCTAGCTCTCTGTGGATTCGATCCCGACCCTAAATCGGGTAAAAGCTGCTCCGACCCTCTCTCGCTACTTAAATAGTAGTGCGGAGTAGGCCACGATCTCTTTTTGGCACCGTTGCCGGGGAGCTAATGGTTTTGGCTATCTATTTAGTTAGATTTGTGTTTTGTTCTTCTTTCCTTCTTGTTACTAATTTGTGTGTGTCAATACTTCAGGTATCAAAATGGCTTTAAATGCTAATGACCCTTTTGGAAATGTGAATGCGGGGAAGGAGGTAGATGACATTGGAGAAGAAGAGGTGCCTCTTGTACCTCAAGGACAACATAGAGGCCGCTAGGCCAATGCAAATGATAATATTCCAGACCCTCCTCCACCACCTCCAAGAGTGGCTCCCAGAGTTCTTCCCAACCAAGGCTATGCGAGTGCTATTGTTCCGCCTCGGATTCGGGCGGGCAATTTTCAAATAACAAACGTGATGCTGACATTGTTGGAGTAGCGTGGGTACTTCACGGGTGCTCCCACTCAAAATGCCTACAAACATCTCAAGGGGTTCGTGGATACCCGTTGGGGGAGCAAGCAAACCAATGTGTTCGGGGATGCACTTCGATTGAGGCTTTTCCCTTTTTCACTTAAGGGGAAAGCATTGGACTGGCTTGAGTGACTTCCCAACCATTCCATCACAACTTGGGATGAGTTGTCGGATAAGTTCATTGCCAAATTCTTCTCACCGGGACACATGGCAGCACTAAGGGATGAGATCTTAGCCTTCAAGCAGGAGCCTACTGAACCATTGCACGAGATTTGGGAGCGATACAGAACTATGGTGAAAGAATGCCCCAACAATGATATGACAGAGGCGATGATACAACAAACCTTCTATCGGGGCATCAATACAACGAATCAATGCATAGTGAACCAATTGGCTGGGGGTAATTTCATGAAGCTCCCTTATGATGAAGCTTGTGAGATTCTTGATGAAATGGCTGACACATCCTCCACTTGGCAAAGTAGAGCCAATGTGCCTCAGGGTGACCCCACAGTTACTCATTTGCACAAAGAACTGCATGACCATGGATAGGCTATAGCAGAACTTACAACAACAATGAACCAATTAGCAAAGGCACAGTTGCAACAAGTTTAGAATCCTCGCCAAGTGAATGCTATGGAGGGTGTTAACATGCTAGTGAACCAAAGAAGGCGAAGACGTCAACAGAACCAAGGGAATTCGGATCAATTTGACAATGATGGTAATAGATTTCAAGATGATGGCTATGATGAGCAAAATAAGGAGGTGCAATATGTGAATAATTACCAAGGCCAAAGAGGAAATTCTTCCAACCAACAACAACAATGGCGATCCCAGGGCAATTGGGGTAACCAACAACAAGGCAACAATAATTGGAACAATCAACATCAAGGGAACAACAATTGGGGAAATCAAAATAACAACCGCAACAATCAAGGAAACTGGGGCAACAACAACAATTGGGGTGGAAACAACAACAACCAAGGTGGGTGGAACAATAACCAAGGAAATCAGGGGCAAGGCTTTCAAAGGCCCCCAATGTACCAACAACCGAGCAATCCACCACCTTTTCCATCCCAGGGTCCTAGTTCATCCAACAATGAAATGGGTAGAATTGAAATGATGTTCGAACAAATGATGAAAAAGAATGCGGATTCCGATGCGCAATTGGCTTCTCACAATACTTCAATTAGGAATTTGGAGGTGCAACTAGGTCAAATCTCTCAGTCCTTAAATACACGCCCTAAGGGTGCTCTACCAAGTGATACGGTAGTGAACCCAAAGGGTGGGAACAACCATGTTATGGCGGTAACTACAAGGAGTGGAAGAGGCGGTGATGTGAATGCCTCCAAACAAAAGCAAGTTTTGGGTGATGAAGTTGAGTTGCAAGAAGATGAAGTTCCTTTGGTGGTTGAGAATGTGGTTGATGAAAATGTGAATGAAGAAGTGAGGATCAATATTCAAGATGCCGAGGTGGAAATACAAAGTGACGTGAACCCGTCTAGGGAGCACGTAATTGACATGCCGGAGCCGGTTGTGCCAAAAGCCAAGGCACCCTTGCCTAGGCCACCTCCCCCTTATCCTCAGAGGCTAGCCAAGCAGAAAAATGAGAATCAGTTTAAAAAGTTCATTGACATGATGAAGAGCTTATCCATCAACGTGCCTTTGGTGGAGGCTTTGGAGCAAATGTCCTGGTTATGCTAAATTCATGAAAGATTTGGTGACAAAGAAAAGATCCATGGACTGTGAAACTATCAAGATGACCCACCAAGTTAGTGCTATAGTACATTCAATGGCTCCGAAGTTAGAGGATCCCGGTGCTTTCACTATCCCTTGCACTATAGGGAGTGCAGACTTTGCTAAAGCTTTATGTGATCTTGGGGCAAGCATCAACTTAATGCCCTACTCAGTTTTCAAGACTTTGGGTATTGGGCCACCGAGGCCAACTTCCATGCGATTG